AGAATTAAGTCTGTATTAATCTGAAGCAGGTGGTAAGTTAAAGAGTCATGTTATATAGAGTAACTGCTAAGAAAAACTCCTTTTGTTTTTTAACATTTATTTACTTTTGAGACAGAGAGAGACAGGGCATGAACGGGGGAGGGTCAGAGAGAGAGAGAGAGAGACACAGAATCTGAAACAGGCTCCCGGCTCCAGGCTCTGAGCTGTCAGCACAGAGCCTGACACGGGGCTCGAACTCACGGACCGCGAGATCATGACCTGAGCCGAAGTCGGACACTTACCCGACTGAGCCACCCAGGCGCCCCGAAAAACTCCTTTAAAAAAGCTGAAATATAACAGAGGAATTAGCCCAGTATAATAAAAAAAATAATAATAACACAAATGTAAACAAGTGAAGGAAGAGCAGAGGGGGGAAAAAGACATGAGGCACCTAGAAAGCAAATAGCAAAGTGGCAGACGTGAATTCAGATTGTTGGCACCTTGAGGCTTTGCTGGACATGAGGTATGAGAGATGACGGAAGTGGCAGAGATTGCGGCCAGCCGGAAAGTGAAGGAGTGGGCTGGACAGTAGCTCCCTCTAGACGGGGTACGTGTTTTCCATCTTTCCACAGTGTCTATTACTCTCAGTTACAGTTTACACTTCACTCAATTTTCTGTCTGCTTGATGACAAACCATGGCTCCTCCACCCCCGAGGGGCAAGCATCCCTTCCGGATCCCACAGGCTCTCCTTTTATAGATGCATTTTCAATGGCAACTCTCAAACCTTTCCAGGAATTAAGTGTAACTCATGCATTATTTTTTAAACATTTTTAAATGTTTATTCATTTTTGAGAGAGAGAGAGAAAGAGAGAGAGAGTGAATGGGGGAGAGACAGAGAGAGAGGGAGACACAGAATCTGAAGCAGGCTCCAGGATCTGAGCTGTCAGCACAGAGCCTGACGCAGGGCTGGAACTCAAGGACCGAGAGATCATGACCTGGACTGAGGTCAGACACTTAAGAAACTGAGCCACCCAGGTGCCCCTAAATCATGCATTGTTTATGTGAAAATTAAATTGCTTTATTCTGTTAGGGATGGCAGTTGACTGATTTAAATATGGAAAGGATACACTTATTTTTTTATTATTTTTTATTTTTTTATTTTTTGAGACAGCATGAGTGGGGGAGGGGCAGAGAGTGAGAGAGCGGGGGACAGAGGATCCGAAGCTGGTTCTATGCTGACAGCAGAGAGCCCCATGTAGGGCTCAAACTCATGAACCACGAGATCATGACCTGAACCAAAGTCAGATACTTAACCGACTGAGCCACCCAGGCAGCCCTAAACATGGAAAGAATATATTTAAACTTTTATGCAAGTTGGGGAAATATTAACATTTTGTTGGCATTTGGAAATAATGGTGTAGTTTTATGGTATTATTTGTAATACCAGTTTATAAACGAGGAAGCCAAGACTCAGAGGTCCTGCAATCTATCTGGACAAGGTCACATAGTTATCCAAGCTTCTCCCAGAGAGTGTATTTTTGTGCTTACAAAAAAGAAAGAGAAAGGATGTCATACAAAATCTTTTTTTAATTTTTTTTTTAATTTTTTTTTTAACGTTTATTTATTTTTGGGACAGAGAGAGACAGAGCATGAACAGGGGAGGGGCAGAGAGAGGGAGACATAGAATCGGAAACAGGCTCCAGGCTCTGAGCCATCAGCCCAGAGCCCGACACGGGGCTCGAACTCACAGACCGTGAGATCATGACCTGGCTGAAGCCGGACGCTTAACCGACTGCGCCACCCAGGCGCCCCTACAAAATCTTAATAATAAGTTAACACTATGGAAAACATTTTTTTCCAAGTCTTACAAAGATGAAAGAGACATGTAGTTTTTTAGACTGGGCTAGATGTCTTTGGTGTTTTACTGGAGAATTGGAGAAAGCTGGAGAAGGTGTGGGGCAGCTGGTAAAAGAATTGCTCTACAGCATATTTCCATTTCTAAAAGCCGAGAAGAGCTGTTCCTCAATGTTGAGAAGTCACAGTTCAAACACAGATAAGTCAGTTTTATCTGGTGTTTTGGTCTTATCTGTGTCTCAAGTTTCAGGCAGCAAGGGAGAAACGTTTATGTATGTCTGTAGAGTAAAACTTAAGGAATCTCATAAAATCTTAAACTCTCATCTTTACTGTTATACTAGATTAGAGTCTTCAATCATTAAAGCAAAGTGGTTTAGGACCAAGGATGAAATATTCAATACTATTTTTTTTAAGTTTATATATTTATTTTGAGAGAGACAGAGGGAGAGAGAGAGAGAGAACGAACCAGCCCGGGAGGGGCAGGGGCGGGGGCCCAGGATCCAAAATGGGCCCAGAGAGCTCCATGCAGGGCTTGAACTCACAAACCGTGAGCTCATGACCTGAGACATTTAATCGACTGAGCCACCTAGGGGCCCTGAAACGTTCGTATTAACCTTGCCCTAACCAAGAAAGTTGTGTTGCAGATTTATGTTTCATGGTTCTGTTGTATTTAGGAGTGCAAAGCCATCTCTCAGACTATTTGGAATATAAACAAGACTGAGGCAAATCTTTGCTACAGGCATCGTGATGTCTGTAGCTAAATAATCTGAGTGGCATACTTGATCCATTCTTATTCCCTTGATTTCACAATTTCAATTAGACTTTTATAGTTACCCATAGATGTTCTGACCGGCACAGGAGAGGCCTGAGCAATGTCAGAGGCCACATCCTGGTGGCCTGTTTGCCGGGCCCACCCTGCAGATGTGTTACATTTTGTTTGGCCTTTCAAGTGTTTAAAGAAATTGTTTTTCTGAGTTTTGTAGACAAAATTTTGCAATCTGGAGAACTCACACAAACATCAAAATTTCCTGTTTCTCTTGAGAAATCTATCTGGCCACAATGGGCACACAATCCTGCTGAGTAAATGCCTCACCCCTATAACAGGGCACACGGTTCACCCACAGTGGGGCTGCCTCTCTTATTTAGGGCATTTGAGTTTGTGACTGCAGACTATGCTGACGGTTCCCGTGGGCGAAGCCTTCAAAGTGATGCTACAGTGAAGACACTGATTCCCTGTGTTTTGTTAGGTTCAAAGCCACTTTGGACGTCTCTGTTGAGTTTCTTTTAGATTTGATACTCATTTGACCAGTCTCCGTGGCACAGATCTTTGTCCTTGAATCTGATTTTTGGAAGCAGTTAAAGGAAAATTTGGAGCCAAGTTTGGGGTAAAAAATATGTGTGAGTATGAAATAGTGAAAACCTGTTTCTCTTGGGTGGTTTGTAAAGCTGACTCAAAGGTAATTAAAAAAAAAAAAAGAGCTCAATAATGTTTTGAGGGATGGCTTTTACTTCTTCCAGATGTCAGTTACCTTTCCACTAAACTTTCAAAATATCCTATTTGTGACTCTATGATGCACATATGACTTGGGTTTTATATTATTTTGTTTATTTTCTTTACCTACTTCGACCAGACTGAGAGCTATTTGAGAAATATGTACTTTTATTCATCTTTGATATGGCATATATAGTTGGAGGTGAAAAGACTGAGTTGAAAAATTCATTATTGAATGAATGAATGAATGAATGAATGAATAAGTCAATATAAACAGAAAGCACCCTAAATTGACCATCTTAATGTTTATTTATTTTTGAGAAAGGGAATATGAGCAGAGGAGGGTCAGAGAGAGAGAGAGAGAGACAGAGGGAGAGAGAGAGAGAGAGAGAGAGAGGAGAGAGAAAGAGAGAGACAGAATCTGAAGCAGGCTCCAGGCTCTGAGCTGTCAGCACAGAGCCCCAGGGGCCCAACTCAGCAGATCAAGGCCTGAGCTGAAGTCTGACTCAACCCAGGGAGCCACCCAGGCGCCCCCTAAATTGCCTACTTTAAAGGGAACAACACATACTTTATATCTATTAAATATCCATGAATTGCCTACATTCGTGTAACCAAAGTGGATTGAAAATGGATTGGTTTTTTACTGTATAACTTTCTTTGGTCACTGAACTCAGTCCCTGGCATTGCAAGGCAGTTGAAAGTCACCGGTTTCACCTTGACAGAGAAGAATCACTTCGCTACACACGTGTGGTTTTTCCAACTGATGAGCCAGGAAATGTAAAAGTTGTAGAATCAAAGGCGAATCAAAACCCATCAAGAATTATAGCCCACCGTTCGTGTCCTAGTTCAAAAATAAGGTTTCAAAGTATTTCAGACTGTGTTAAAATGTTCAATATTGCTAACCAAGCATCAGGGTCAATTTCAGAATAAGGCAGCATGGGCATTTTGAAACCTTCAACACAGAAACTCTAAAGGAACTAGTAAGTAAATATATCAAAGCCGGGTCAGCGATAAAAACCCAGAAACAACACAACACCGTGAAAAACTAAGTATCCATTATATATGAGCACTTTTGTTAACTAGACGTGTTAAGGTTGGCTATTCCTGTCTCAGAATAGAGTCTTAGTGGGTAGCAGGGCTTTAAGGGAATCCTCGCTCGCTTCTACGCAGGAGAAAAAGGTGGCCCTGTCCCACCCTCGACCCTCCAGCCGATGTGCACGTCCACGTAGAAACACAGGTCGGCCCGACTCCACTCCACCGGCGTTAAGAAGCGGCACCAGCCCGGGCTGCATCCTTCTCCTCCTCCCGCTCTATTTTGGGGCCCCATGATCTCATGCCCTCTGCAGACCACATTCGGCAATTCCAGTCCAGGGCGATTGCTGCAAGTGTTCGGAAGGTGCCCGGGGCGCGGCGAGGGGAAAGCTCTGGGGGAAGTTAAAGACGCGCCCACGTAAAGGACCCAAAATAACCGACACGCAGAGTGCCCGAAATCAGACAGGAAGCCAAATAATCCGGGGCGTTGAGTTGCTTTCCCCTCACTTCTAGCGCGGGGCGGCGGGCGCGGCGCCAAGGGTCTGGCGGCAAGGGGCGGGCGCGGCGGCGGGCGGGGCGGGGCCGGCGCGGAGCCTATTAAAGGCGCAGCGAGGCGGCGGGGCCGAAGAGCCGGGGGCCACGATGGAGCGCGGCGGCTGCTCGGGGGGCGGGAGCAGCGGCGGCGAGGGCGGCCGCGGTTCCCGGGAGGGCCCGGCGGGGAACGGCCACGACCCGAGCCACGGCCGCGCGGCCCAGGCACCCGGGGAAGGGCAGGCGGCCGCGTCCTTACTGGCCCCCATGGACCTGGGGGAGGAGCCGCTGGAGAAGGCGGCGCACGCCCGCACGGCCAAGGACCCCAACACCTACAAGGTGCTCTCGCTGGTAGGTCCGCGGCCCGGCGCGCGGGAGGGCGGGGAGGGCGGCTCCCGGCTCCTCCGCTCCGTGCGCGGTCAGCACCCGGGGCCCGGAGAGAGGCAGCGTTTCTGCCGCTCCTCTTCGCCTGCACGCGCTCCGCACTGTTCTTCTCTTTACCCCGGGGGAGTAGGTCACGTTCACGTGTGCCACCGATGCTTCTAAGGGCCTGCTTAGGAAATCACAGTGTTCATAGTGTGATCTTTGGAGATACCACCTCGCCCCCCACCCCTCCCCATGAGAGTACGAAGTTTTTAGAAGGGAAAAATGACCAGCCCCCCACCCCAAAAGTTGTGGGTTTTAGGAGGGCCAAATTTTTTTTTTTTTTTTTTTTTGCGACTGCAGTATTGATGACTTTCTTTGCATTAACTAATTTCACTTGAAAAGATTTAACAGAGCTCTTCAAGTTTTGTCAGGAACTTTAGGAAAAACCTTTTATTTTGGCTCTGCTCAGGAATTTCCTTGCAGCTGTTCAGAAATTCATCAATATTCATGTTACGCGAACGTGAAGAAACGTTTACCATTCTTTGTCTACTCTTTTAACCGTAGGTTACACGGTTTTTGTTGCTAACAAAAGTAGCCATTATTCGTCTGCTATTTGTTAGGACAGTTGCAAGATCCACAGTCACTTTTATAAAGTGTTGGGGGAGGGGGTGGGAATTCATTCTAGATGGATGGTAGGAAGTGCTGGATGGAGTCAGAGCCTGGGTTCCTGGTTTAGTTAGTAGTTGCTAAGGCCTTGTATAACTCTCCCAAACCTCAGTTTCTTATTTGGTACAATGAGGACATCGTCTTCATTGCCCACTGCATAGAATTATTGTGGGGATCCAATGGGAACAACGTCTGTGGGGAAGTAAATTGAAACTTGCAAGGAGCCATAATTTTTACTGTATTATATGGAAGTAACATTATCACTTGCTATGATTGAACAATGCTGTGTAGAGAATATCTTTTCTGATATATGAAATCTACTTTCCTTTCATAAGCATTTCCATTTTCGCTATGTTTTAGGTTTCATGGAGAGGTTATAATGCTTTGAGGAACCAACATTCCTAAAAAGATGGTGTCATATGCTTAGTACTTAGAAGTTAAGCCTAAGATTGGAAGGGTTGCAAACCACATGTTTGTATCTCAACATATATTTTTGCATCATATATCACTGTTTGAGTCTAGAACACGTGTTATTGATGAGAACCTAGGTTTTATCTATTGAGTCACCTTTTTTCTTTCTGTTAATGTGAGACTTTTGTTTCTAGAACATGATCACTTAAATGATTTAGTGTCACTATTTTCACGTGTTTAGCCCACTACAGGTTATCCAATAATTGTACATTGAATCTGTGCATAAGTCTAATGTGAAATCATTTCTAAATGCCTGCAGTCCTGAAAGGCTGCTAAATTGCCAATTGCTATATTCAGTTTTTAAATCTTTCCTACTCATTTACTTATAGATCCATAATAGGTATAAGCAAAGTCCTGTTTTTGAAACACGCATTTCAGTCTGTGACACGTCAATCAGCTAAACAGCATTCCATTGTGCTCTGATGGTGCACCTCTAGGGATTGGACATGGAAATGTCTTAGGTCTTCCATAAGTAGTACAATCATGAATGTCACTTATCCCATTAGGCGGGGTCTTCTGCTGTAACACATATTGAATTGGCAGAGAACTCTTACCTCATGACTTTCAATGAAATACTGTGGGACATTAAATATACACCTAAACTCATTGCTGTATTTTTGAAATCTTAATTAGTAACTAAAATGAACGTGAAACCTTTTACCAATTCTTCTTTCTCTTCCCTACTTCAGTACCCTTCTTTCCCCCCCACTCCCTCCTCCCTGAGCTTGCCCAAATGATACACTTCCAAAAGGAAAAGTCTCCAAAAGGATTTTGACAGTTGACATCAAAGAGTTCTGGAACATGTCTTCTAGAAAGGAGCTGCACTTATGGGTTCCTTTTTTCCAGTTAAACATCAACACACTTTTCATAAACTTGGGGAAATAGACTAGTTGCATCTGGTGTTGGGATTACTAGAGGCCAATCACTGATATGGTCCTCAGCCTCATGGTTTTTATCTAGCAGGATAATCACAAGAGCTGCCTTCCAGAGAATAATCAGTGGCAACTCTTGCATTTTTCTGAACATACTTCAGCTAAGCTTAAATGATGCAGTAAAGAAGGAAAGATCCTGCTGTACCCTCCCTTCTCTTTAAGTATGGTGCTTGATCCCAGGGAAAGAATTGCAGTCTCTGGTGGCTTTTGGCCCTGGGCCCTGGAAAAGGCACTGAGCCAGATTGAAAACTAAGAGGGCAAATACAAGTATTATTCTCTATATGCTTCAGTAGATATGTTAAATACTGAATGCCTTTCCCTGGTTCCAAATCAAATTTTGAACTGAAATTTTGACTTCAACTGAGGTCGGACTTGAAGATTTGAAAAAAAAATTCTTCTTGTTCCTGGTATTTTAAAGGGCAGAAAACTTTCTTTAAAAAAAAAAAATATATATTTATTGTGAGGGGGGAGGGGCAGAGAGAGATTGGGGAGGAGGGAGAGAGAATCCCAAGCAGGCTCCACACTGTCTGCACAGAGCCTGACACAGGGCTCAATCTCACAAACCATGAGGTCATGACCTGAGCAGAAATCAAGAGCCGATGCTTAACTGACTGAGCCGCCGAGGCACCCCAAGGGCAGAAAACTTTCAGCCACAGTGCAGTACATTTTTCCATTCTCCAGTGAGTTCCTCTACAGCATTACTTTGTGTTTGTGACCTTCTGCTGTGCTTATGAATAATACACACACCTGCATATGTGTACAGGGCTGTATGTATGGGTGGTAGTTATGGGGGACTACTTTCACCTTTCAGTGAAAGAGTTCTTTTTAAGTGGCCGTGGTTGCCCTTGTTTATCAGAAGTTTGGGCATGCAAATTATTACTTTGGTTAGCTTTTCTCCCCTTTTTACAACACATTGTCTTATCTCTAAAGTACAATGTGGAGAACAATCAAGGTGGTTCTCTGCTCTTAATCAGATTTGGACTTGGCATTATTCTTTGGTTTGTAAAATTTAACATCCAGCCAGCCATGGTTTCGCATATTTCAACATGGCCAGAGCATCTTAGAGGTCAGAGAAGGCTCCTGTTTGCCTCTTATGGTTTTTGTTTCACACGTTGTGATAAAATGCATCACAGATTTCTAGGAGCCAAGTAAGATGGTTGTGTTTACTACTGGACCTAAGAAGGTGCCTTACACTCAATGTTGGCTTTTGGTTGAATGAGTGAATGCGCTGCATTTTTGCTTAGACCAAGTGACACTTTACCTTGGCAAAGGGCAAGATGGGAAGACAGAATATACATCCACAGACCCACATGACCAATTGAAGGTCAGGAGTCTCAGGAATCTAAATATAGATGCACTAGTAGGTAGGGCGCTTGGGTGTAAATTCAGGGATAAGATCAAAACTGGAATATCATTCCATTAGGGCGTTGGGAGATGGAAGAGGCAGTGAATGAGCTATGAACAAGTTTCCAGCCAAGGCCAACCTTAGGACAGGCCAGACAAGGCCTCTGTGATCACTTGCATTCAGAATCAGGATCTCATTACTGGGCATTCTCTCAGGTACAAATGACCCAACTATGGCCATCTGACATGCATAAGGTAGGTCATCCTGCAGGTACAAAGGAAAGTCTCCTTCACTTGTCTCAAGGCCTCTTCTGTTTTGGTGACTTTGCTATCATACCCCAAATTCAGTCTTTGTGGCTTTTGTGGGGTATTGTTTTCTCCAGCATTGCTTTCTATTACTTCCTTTCTTCTGCTTTGAGTCATATTCTGGTCTCTCTCTGTCACCATTGATACCTCACCTATTTTCGCTCCATGGATACACAACCATCCTTTGAACATTTTCTTTTTTTCCCATCTGTTCCACTTGTTCCGTTAACTCTGGACACTCAGTGTTGCTGTCCCCCACCCCCATTATTTCCTAATCATGATTCTGAAGACAATCCCTAGTGGCTGTGTTAAGAGACCTTATACATTGTGTATAATACAGAACTGAGGACCATTGGCTCATAATATTTATAGAAATTCTTACCATCTTCTCATCTTCCTCCAGCTAGCTTTTTTCTCAGATACTAATATTAAAGGTAAATGAAAATGGTTTTATATTCGGTTTGAGTTTGATAAATTCCACTGCAAAGTATCTGTGTGACTTGTAACTCATAGCAAATATATTTCATCTGTGTTTATGGGCTTTTTGGACAAGCTAGAGAAGTTAATTATGATTCATAATTGGGGGGGTAGGGAGAGAGACATTTCATGTTTCAAACAACTTAGGAACAAATAAGCTTTTGGAATACAACTTGGAATTAGAGAACTACCTTGGTTAAAATAAACATGCCTTTATCTACCATGAAACCTTTTAGCAAACGAGTTCAAGGCAGAGCATAGATTACTCTTTTAAGCCTAACAAGAACTGATATTCAGAAAACTGACTCAAAATAAAAATCATTTGACATCAAATCAAATCTAAGTGATGTATTTACCACAGAAAGAAAATATAATAATATATTTGAAAGGGCTTTTCTAAAGTGACCAGAATGTCCAGCTAAATATTAACTAGAACTCTGAATATTAGAGAACTCTGAATATTAGAATATTAACTAGAACTAGAATATTAAACAGAACAATACTCTGTTTCCTGAGTATTTTAGTTATCTGAGGTTTAATTATAAGAATTAAGATAACATCTATAATAATCTTTATTTTATCCTCGCTCACTTTTAGATGTTAGAATAAGATTTGGTGGAAATGTAGGTGGTAAAAGTTTATCATTCACAAAGCACTTTGCAGTTTTAGAAAACATATTCCCAGATCCTCAACACGTCAGCAACTCTGAAACAGTAAAGTGTGGTGACAATTAATCCTACTTGATAGATTAGGAAACTGAGGCTCACAGGCATGCAGTCAGGTTTCTCA